TAAAATAGTTTTCAAGTCGTTTCAACTTTTTGNATTTGCAAGAAAGCAAATTATTAGTATATAGATATGTCTTTTGCATAGATCATAACAATTAATAAATCACCAAAAATTCACTTGAGAATTTTATTTTTACCTAATGCTCCAATGATCCAAGGTATTATTTTAAACCTTCTAAAAACCACGTCCGAGTTTTTATTTGGTAGAAACCAAACTCGGCTAAGTAGTCTCCGATTAAAAAAACAGTAGATCATGTAGTAAAGAATATTTATGATTACTACTTTCTCACATAAAATGGTCTTCAAATCGCTTCTAAATAAAACTACATGTATTTAAATCTTTAGACTTAAAAAAAAAATAATCAAAATATTAGTATATAGAGATGTCTTTTGTATAGACCAAAACAATATATAAACTATCAAACACTCACTTGAAATTTTTTTTTTTTTTAAATGTGTGAAGCTTTAATAGATATTGAAGATTCACTTGAATCTTTAGATTTTTTAAATTCCCACAATTTTAATAGATATCGACTATTTATTTAAATCTTTAGAAGCAAAACCTATAAAAAAAATAGAGTAATGCATATTTTATGAATTCAAGTTTTAACCGGGAAACTGTCATTTCAAATATATATGATCGAAGAATGTTAGGGTACTTAGATATTGGCTGATTATGTACCCTTAATTTTNGATTTTTAATCAAAATTTAGGGGAAAACTTTAATGGTTTGAATTTTTTTTTTTTTTTGGAATATAGCATCTTATAGGAAGACTAATTTTCTATAGCCAATCAAAACAGTGATAGTTTCATTAAAAGTCCACTTATTAGATAAAATTAATTTAATTTTTTTTCTATATAAAATTAAGTATGAAAGTGAGTATAATATTAGGAGACTATAAAATGTATTATAAAATTTCGTTAACTTTTTTTCTATATATGATGTATATATAACAGTTTTATATAAAATTTAAATTCAATATTAAGTGATTGTAGAATGTATTAGAATATTTTTAAAATAACATTGTTGATAGTTTTTTTCAAAATTTTCTATTGGTTGTTAGCTTTTTTTTTTAAATTCGAAATTGGTGTGAAAATAAAAAAATCTGAAATTGGTTTAAATGATTAATATTAATTTTTTTCTATCTAAAATTAAGTATGAAAGTGAGTATAATATTAGAAGACTATAAAATGTATTATAAAATTCCGTTAATTTTTTTTCTATATATGATGTATATATAACAGTTTTATATAAAATTTAAATTCAATATTAAGTGATTGTAGAATGTATTAGAATAACTTGTTGAATAGTTTTTTCAAAATTTTCTATTGGTTGTTACTTTTTTTTAAATTCGAAATTGGTGTGAAAATAAAAAAAAATCTGAAATTGGTGGTTAATTTATAAAAAGTAAACGAAAATTGTTCATTATTTTTTATGGTT